GTCTGCAAGTGGTGTGTTGGTGCTGCAGAGTACCAAGAGAGTCTCCAGTTGCCCTCACCATTTCTGAACTCAACACAGTGATTCAAGACCAGTATATGATGTCATTGCACTGGGCAACTGTTGTCATCCACCACTGCARCCCTTGGCAAAGCAGAGCCTGTTACACCATAGCCGTAAGCTGTCTACTGCCTAGAAGAAAGGTGGGCTTGAACTGAAGCATTCAGTGTGTTCTGAAAAGGCAACTCCCCATTGCATCCCCCTTTTTAATGGAGGGAAAGGGTACAGGCCCTTATCAGACTGGGCAGCCTGACTCCACAGCATGCGGGTGTTTCCGATGCAGTCTGTCATAGCACCCTTGGGGCATCACCACCGGTGGCAGCAGCACCATGGCTGGGCAACAAGTGCAAGGGAGCAGCTCAGGAGCTCTGCTCTGCTGTGGGTCCCAGCACAGGCCACAAGAAGAACTTCATATCTAAGTWCCTGGTGACAGATTAGATCAGGTATTGGTTGACTAAACGCTCTCACTCTGTAGCTATCCAGTGCCTTGCACAGTTATATACAATACACCACTGTGCTCATGAGCAGTATCAGCAAAAGAATTCAAGAACTTGAAAAAATGCAGTTACCTGTCTAGCTCATAGAGTTAATCCTGAACTTTTACTGCTTTTCCCTATATTCCATGTGTAGAGTAAGACCTGTACACACAACACCCTCAAACCTTTTTTCACCAYTAAAACATTATTTTAAAAAGCAGTTTAGTGTTAAAAGAGATGACTCATAATGCTGCAGCATCAGTTAGCTGGCATGAAAGGGATGATAATGTCATAATTTTGATTTTCATTACCAAAGAATAAGAAGGGTTGAAAATGTTTTGTACATCTATCACCTTGTTTTATATTTTTATGATAGAAATAAACTACAGAGATTGGTATCTTGATGTGCTCTAATTCGAAAATTGAAGTATTTTGTATAGAAGCAACACAAACCAAAAATTTAAGCTCTTACTATTATTTTTTTCAGAGTTTTGTTCCCAGATTTGGTAGAGGTAAACATGCATAAAAGTTCACCAGAGCTTACAGCTAAAGGACTCAAACCCATAGTACTTCTATGAATATAAGTAAATGAGATAAGAAGATAATTAGTCCTACTGAGCTCAAGGACAGATAAAATGCTCAAACATTTGCTGCACTGTACTTCAGCTGCACTGTACTTCAGCTGAATACGTTTCCATACAAGCCCTATCCTATGTGCAGATCTAAGTAAAGAAAGATGGGACAGAAAAGTTAGAGTAAAGACAGAAGAATATATAAGCATACAAACGCTTTTTATAAACCTGTGTATGAAACAAGCTAACAATCTTGATATAAAATAAGTTATAACTAGTTCAGAAATAAGGTTTAGCTCTGTTTTTGTCTGATTAGCAACCATTGATCCTTTTTCTTGATTTCTGTATACATGCCAGATAGGAAATTGCACTGATGTACCTTAAAATTCCATATGCCACATTTGGAATTTGATAGAACAAAGGTCCTAACAAAGTTTTTAAACTGAAAGAGGGTAGAGTTAAGTTAGATTAAGAAGAAATTCTTTATTGAGAGGGTGGTGAAGTACTGACCCAGGCTGCCCATCTCTGGAAGGGCTCAAGGCTGGTTTGGAAGGGGCTTTGAGCAACCTGGTCTAGTGGAAAGCATCCCTGCCTGTGGCAGAGGGAATAGAACTTGATGGTTTTTCAGRTCCCTTCCAACCCAATTCCATTATATTCCTATTTAGGCAGCGCTTTTTAAGGGTAAATATTTTTGTTCTTGGATTTTTTTTCACATAACTTATTACATATCCTAAGTGTGGGGAGTGTGCTAAGTTTTGGTTTATTTTTTTTTCAGATGGGACAAGACTCTTGACTTCTTTGAGCATTAGCTTTTGATCTGGCTGAATTTTCCTCCTTCTCTGAAATGGACTTTCAATTTATATCACAGTGCCTGAACAGTTTCACAGTATGGTTAACATATACATAAAGTCCAAATAAATAAAAATATTATTTAAACACTATTCTTCAGAAGGTAGAATTAAAGATACATCAAGCCCAGTATACTGACTTTGATAGTGATCAATAATGCATACCTAAGGAAGAGCTCAGAAGTAGAGAATATATTGACAAAACCTAGCTGGTTTATGCTTCCAGCATTTCATGACCTCTGATTCAGAAACTTTGGTCCTAAGGGAGATTTCTTTGTTTGTAGAAGTTAACGTAAAAACTGATAGCCAAACGGACTTTATCCCATGTAACTACAGCTTGCAACATATCACATGGATTCCACCAGCTACCTCCTAAAGTAATTTACTTGGAAAACTGTCTAGATGCAAATATGAAGAATTTTGCATGGATTGTTTCATTAGGATGCCACTTTCAAAGCCAATAGATTTTAAAATAACTAAACTATCTTTATATTAGAATGCAATCTACAAACACAGGATTCCTTTAATCCAAATTTCATAAATACATTTTCTCTTGAGATAAGCATTTCAAATGAGTGTTCCAGCAATTTTCAGCAGTATCTACTCCCAAAGAAAGGTCACACTATATAGTATATATAGTGAAAAAAGACAAGACAAATTAAAAGCACTCAGCAGCTTGCATTAATGTGCTCTAAGTCTAAATGAATAGAGCATTCACACAGACTCTGAAAACTGTGGAGTTTGTCTCCAAAAGATTAGTCAAATGTGTGGGATTTTGATTGTGGGGGAAAGGGAGCAATGAGTTTGGTTCAAACCTAGGGCTATTTAGATGGCTTCTCTTTTAACTTAATTAGTACAAAAGACACATTTTTGRGACTACCTGGAATTTTGAGGATGGACTATTTAGGAACAATGTTTCTGGACAGAAAAAAAAGAAAAACAACCTACAGAATGGATAATTGCTCAGCTAATATAACCAAACAAAAATCATATAGAGCAAGGTATATTGTATGATATATTGCTATATCATAACTACCAGGAAGTATTTTTAATAATATGCAAAGACAGAAGAACATTATGATTTGAATACAGGATCAAGTGCTTCTCATTAGAGATTGAAAAGAGAGAATTTTAATCAGTTAAAAGATGAACAGGCATCAGTTACCAGAAACTGCTGTGATTTCCAGTCAGACTGATGGAGCAGTAGGAGACTGCTATTAAAAAAAAAAAGTTACTACTACTAAAACATTTGAAGAAATGATGGTACCTAACGAGTTTCAAATTCTACTGACAGATTTCCCTAATGGAAATTTCTTTTCCATTCTCATAATACTTGTCTTTATAAATTAACTGACTTTGACATAGAAAGTTTGCCATACAAGGCTAATTTTGAATCTATTAAGCAGTTCAAACTGCAGATATATGAGATATACAATCATTGTGTCCATGGCAAAAATTGCCAGAAGTAATGCAAGCTCATTGGAGCATTAAAATATAAGACTGGAAGAAAAAGAATACGAAGTGAGATTTTCTAGCTAGACATCAAAGATATAGTTTACCAGAAGGCATATAAAAGAACATGAAACCATATATAAAAATAAGCAAATCTGTATCCTTTTCATTAAGCAATAAACATGCTTCCACCCCAACTTGCATCAAACAATAAACATGCTTTGCCCCCGCACTTTAGTGGAAAGTTTAAAAGACAAGCATTCTGAGTAGATCCAGCTTCAGTTTGGATAATATCACACGATATATTCCACTAATTTTGAAGAAGGAAAATATTGTGATCTGTACTTGGTTTCAAAATCTAGGAAAAAAAAAGCATATATATATATATATATATATACACACACACATATATATATATGCATTCATTCCATGGTTGATCGTATAAAGTGTTCTCAATTAAACAGTTATTTGAAGACTGCATAAATTTAACAGTATAAAAGTCCAAAATGATTATATTATAGTTCAAAGAAGAGAATGATCAGAATGTGACTCTTCCATGGTTACAAAGTATATGAAAGAAAATATGTGAAAAAAGTACATTAAGGCGGCATTGTTTAGACTATATGTATATTAAAAACAGCAAAAAATATTAACAATAATGCATCTAACTTCAGTGACCTTGGGTTCATGAGCTCTGCAGAAGTCAAGCATCTCAAATGTCTGTCTTACTTTTAAGACAAGAATAGAGAGGATACCACGCTTATGGCTCATTTTGTGCCTGAAAGACACATATTTCTGATGGATAACCAATTTCTGACCTTTATAATAATTATAATCTTCAGTGAAAAAGTCCGTTTTCCCAGTTTACAGCTATCTTCTAAGGGCTTTCATCATAGCACATTAATAAGAAATTTTGGGGGGCACCTTTTTGTTCTGAGTCTGCATCTTGTCCAGCTATAGCAAGGGCTCTTCATTATGACTGCACTGTGATGTAATCTCTTACTTGCACTGAACACATTCTGTTGGTAAAGCTGTACATTTTCAATTAGAGATTGAAATTTTTGCTGAAAATAGCCTTGATACCAGCTATAAAAAACATTTYGAATGAATACATTAGATCTTTTTGTAATAAATCAGAATAATTCTTTGAAACAACTTATGAATATTGGGGGTAATTTGACTGCTGGAATGTTATTTGCCTGAATATGTGGACTTCATACATAGATGTAAGACAAACAAATAATCAGGAAAGACAAAGTAAATAGATGAAGATTAGCAATGTACAATTAGCAATTCTACAAGCAGGATGGCATGATTATTAATAAAATGACTTTCTTTAAATGTTTTGGTTTTATGGTTATTCTAGACAAGGCTTTGGTTTAATATGAGTATTTGACTTCTGTATTAGTCATGTTTAAGAATCTCAACAGGAATAAAGTTCACAAAACCAAACAGAGCAACCAAATCAATAAAGCCAAACCAGATTAAACTGTAGCCCAAAGCCTCAACTACATAAGAGGATGCACTATGAAGCTTCAGCATAGAGAGGTAAAAGCAATAATAGGAAGAGACGAGTGATGATGTGAGATGCTTACCGTCACCTTCAGCTGTGACAACAACATCTTTAACTATAATGGAAGAAAAATGGATGTTGCTGCTACTGTAGCAGAGGCAGGGAGTGGGGGGAAGGCTGCTCTCCTGGGGTGTGTGGGTGGTGTGAAGGCATTTACTTCTGCAGAGAAAGAGAGGCCCTGGAAAGATTAGGCAACTGTTGTTTTAGAGGAGGTATGATCTCTTTTAATGGCATATCCAAAGTCAGAGAGGGTACATAAAAGGCTACAGAAAACACGGCTTTGGTCGGCCTTGAAACACAAGATTAAATATGGGATTAACACTTGCTGTTTGTCAAAGCAGGGAGAGACTCATGATTTCCTCAGAAATCCTCTCCATCTCCTCCTTATATATCCATCAAAGGATGGTGTTCTGGGACTGCAGTGGGTTCATGTCCAACCTCAACTGATTTATAATTCTGTTGTTTTGTACTCCTTATCCAAAAGTAATTATTTTATCTTATGTATAAACCAAAGCAGTATCTTCACTAATCACWGTTTTCTAAAGGAAAATACTGTCACACAGTGGAACAGTTTAACCAATCTATTATCTAAAGAAGCAGGAAATAATGGCAAGCATCTCACTATTGCCAAAATGAAATGCTTCAGTGGGAAGATATTATAAGGCCACATCACATTACAGTTATGTTTCTGTGCTGATGTAAGAGACTGGAAGGATTGCTGGCTCAAAACCTTCCGTGTGTGGGGAAAAGGCAGGTCAGGCCTTTCCTTGGGGAGGCAGTGCCCTGCCCCACACACCCCCTGGGCCTGTATCCCTGCCCTGCAGTGGCCACCAATCCCTGACACACATGGGCAATGCTCACACCTGCCCCTGGAGCTCCTAATCCATTCCTGAGCAGCCAAATGACTACAAGTCCCAAYTGGGAGAAGGGCCCAGGAAGGCCATGAGGCATTTAAGGCCAAACAGGAGATAAACATGTCTTGACCCTCCCTCCTTTTGGAACTTCTGTAAGTTGAACACTGCTGGAACTCAGGAGTTGGTACCTATATTTGTTCTTTTTTTTTCTTCTTTTAATTCCCTCTTGTTAGAATTTTGAGTAGCTTAAAACTGAATGGGCTTAGAGTTTGCTAAGTTGAATGGGTTAAGTAAATGCTTTGAGAAGTGGCTTATGTTGATTGAATGCTGCTCTAAAATTTTTGCCAAACTTGATTTTCCAAACTTGCCAGTAAAATCTTTTTTGTTGTTTTGAGCTCTTGACAATATCTTGTCAGCATTTCTCCCAGCATCTAATTCAAAGTACATAAACAACTGTAACACTTTTTATATGTCTCATCAAGTGAGTCATTTTGGGGCCTTATATGTGGTTTTGGCTGGGGTAGAGTTAATTTTCTTCACAGTGGCTGGTATGGGGCTTTGTTTTGGATTTGGCTAAACACAATGGTGACAACAGAGATGTTTTTGTTATTGCTGAGGAGGACTTGCACAGAGCCAAGGCTTTTTTTGCTTTTCCTGCTGCCACCCTGGCAAGAAAATTAGGGGTGCATGGGAGGTTTAGAGGAGATACACCCAGAACAAGTGATCCAAACTGATCACAGGGATATTCCAGACCATATGACACCATGCTCAGTATACAAAGTGGGTGAAAGAAGGAGGAAGGGAGGACGCATTTGGAGTGACAGATTTAATGTTCCCAAGTCACTATTACCAGTGATGGGGCCTGGCTCTTGTGGAGATGGCTGAACACCTGCCTGCCCATGGGAAGCAGTGAATTAATTCCTTATTTTGCTTCGYTTGCATGTGTGGCTTTTGCATTCTCTATTAAACTCTTTATCTCAATCCATGAGTTTTCCAGCTTTTACCCTTCCACTTCCTTCCCTAATCTTGCTGGTGGGGCAGAGAGTGAGCAGCTGGTTGGGGATTTGGCTGCTGGCTGGGGTTAAAGCAAGACAGTTACTTGGACAACAAGTGATTTAAATGAAGTCATACACTAACTTCTCTGCATATTACAAGTAATTCCAAGAATCTGTGGCATTTGCCTTATCTGAATTCTAATTTGAAGGTGCATCTCACTAGAATTGCAGGAAAACAACACTGAATCGAATGGGAAGCAAATAATTTATGACAGTTTCTGTAATCAGTTTGGGGTTTGAAATGAAATCTGGTTGAATAGGAATGTGTTCTTTTGAAAATCGAGAGAGATTTGTTACTAGTGTAAATCTTTATTAAATCCCAAAAATGCTGGGGGGGGGGGGGGGTGAGAGGTTTGAAATACCTCAGAGTTAATGGAGTTATTTACAATGTCTATAATCTGCATTGCTGTCATGTTCTACATCAATACATTAACAAGCAGTCACAACAGAAACATAAGCTATAATGTGACATGTAAGAAGCAGGATGCCAAACCTCACTCTTAGCCAGGCTTAATAAATGACAGCCAAAGGAAAATGCCTTAATGGGGCACTTATACGCATAGAAGTCTAACACATCAGAGAAAATGTAAATCCTGAGGAATTTACAAAAGCAGTGTAAAATGCCTTCTGACCAACTGGAGTTTGACACTCTCTTCAAAGACTGTCACAGCAAACCCTTTACATTAGAGAAGAAAAAAAGGTGTATTAAAGCTGAAGGTTCTAACACTTAAATAATCTAGGTTTCCTCTAGAAGTCCTCTACCTCAGAAAAATCAAATAAATGAGGCTCTGCATGGATTACTGAAAGCTCAAAGAACTCCAAGTGCCTGGTGTCTAACCTCTACAGCAGAATATCTGCGGTAAAAATTTTACTGGATATTTTGAGGTGGTGAAGCTAGTGCTTCATATTCTGGGTTTGCCTAAGAAATAGAGGGAAACAAAAGCATGGGGGAAATAAAAGGTAACAATTCTTTACTCTCTTTTATAACTAAATCATAATGAGTCATCAGGGTTAGCAAATGGCAAAGTCAAAGCAAACAAATGGAGATCTTTATTCAGAGACTGCATTGTTAAACCACAGACTGTCATGACACAACACAGCTGCTCATGGCCAGCACTGGAGACAAACCCTAGTTTGTATCTAAATAAATCAGCATGGGATGAAAAATTTAAGAAAAACAGTAATGAAATTACAGAAATGCTTCAACACCAGTTACATGTTACCCCTAGTCCCGAGTCATACAATTTACAGTGCCAGTGTCAATTATGCAGGTAAAGTCAGAAATCCCCATCTTTTGGATGTATTGAAAATTTGTAAACCCCTATTACAGTTTTTGCTACTTGATTTTTCACAATGCTGTTTCATAYCTAGGCCATATTAATGAAAATATATTTATTGACTGGTTTCCTAATATATTTTATTTTTTTTTGTTCTTTAAAACTAAGGGTAACCTTTCAAATCTTTCATCAAAATATTTTCCTGGTCCTTTTAAAGGTGTTTTTAATTGTAATGCTGCTTATATTAAATCATACAGTATTATAATATAAAATCTTATCATACTCTACATTAAAAAGTGCCTTTCAGTCACCTGATATAGTACTTTAAATTAATGGGAGTTTTTGTAATTTTTCTGAGGAGCTCCAAGTTTCTTTCAAACTCTAGGAGATACACCAACTGAATTTGAAACATATTCTCTTAATTTATCCATTCGTTTCCACATTTTCTTCTCTGTTGTTTCAATTCATGGGGTCACCTTATCTTTTTAAATTTAAAAGAGCAGGTTCAAAATAATCATACAAATTTTCTCAAGATAAAGGAAAAGGAACCTTTTTCAATATTGTTCACTTAATTAAATTTCTTTTTGCTCTGTGATAATTTAACAGATGCAGCATCTTTAAATACATTATTAGAAGAAGAGTTGTGGAAATGAAATTATTATTTTTCATTTATGCTTTTCAAAAATTGTATTTCCCCCTTCATTTTATGCAAAATTTCTTTTCACTTATTTCTTTTTCTGTAGGCTCTCTTTCAGAACTACAATGCAGGGCTTAAAGTTCTGCCATTTAAACACCTTTTTCTCATGCTTATGCTTCCTTCTCTGGGGTAGGAAAGCAGACACAACTTCTGCAACCATCAGAATGTACTCGTGGTCTTCATGATGAGTTAAAAGTTTTAATTTCATCATCACTAGCTTTCAGATCACCTTGATTAATTTCTTTTTAAAGCCCCCCTTCTCCAAAATTTGCAGTAAATTTTCAAAATAGTGAGAACTCACATGCAGGTCTTTTAAAAAGGACTTTTGAGTTTACTCAGTCAGTATTACTGAGGATTAATGTCAACATTATSTAGAACAGTCCTCTGTGTTCCCTCCAACAAATCTGAAAAAAAATTCAAACTAYTGTGAGTGACGATTAGGATCCAAAAGTCAACTCTTTTTCCCAAACAGAAACTCCATTTCTGCCTAGCTTAAGCAGCTTTAGCAGTTCAAAAAGTGAAATAATATTTCTGTTTTAATAGCTAGTGCTCCTTTTCCTCATCAGAAACTGAGGAACATGACAATTATTTTTATTTTCCCTCTTTTATAAACATCCAGACTTTCAGCAATTAAACTTTTCAAAGTGCTGCCTGTAACAGYGACCAAAGAAAAAAATAAACAAATGACTTTTCAGTGAAGAAATTATTAATAACTGAAACAGGACCCAAGAAGCAGTAGCACCTCTTCACTTACATGCACTCTTTCAAGAAATGATCCATTTCCTGACAAAGCTGTACCACTTCCGTTAAGAGAATTATTAGATTTGGATGCTTAGCATAACTTCTCCTTTCATGGTAAAACATTAAGTGGTATTAGAGCGATAAAACTGTTGCCCAGAGCAGTTTCATAAAAAATGCTTTAAACAGCAAATATACCTACCAAGTCTACTTTTCCACAGCTATCAAGCACAGAATGTTTAATTAAAGAGTCAGATTAAAACAAAAGATAAAAATCACTGAGGATATAAGCAAACTCAAAACTAGAACTAATACTGTGCTAAGATCTCACAAAAAAGCTGTTTCATGTCATGTCTATCTTTCAGAGTGAGTCCTTCCCTAAATTCATTTTGTAGTTTCYAAAATTTGATCCTTTTTTCCCCTGCAGTGCAAATGTTCTCCATGGAGTGATTAAGGGGAACATTTTGTATCATCTGGCTTTCCAAAATTTGTCCTTTGAAAATAACACCTATTTCTGTAACAATTCAGTCACCGTAAGAAAGCACCGGATGCCTCCAACTTTAGCTCCATAGAAACTACATTTCCATAAGCAGCTCCCCTTCAGAAAGAAAGTAAATCAAAACTGTGAGGCCCTGGCACCCTGGAAGTATGCAGCTAGAGCACTCATGTTCTTCATTTTCTCTCATTTCCTCTCAGAAATCTGTACCCTGAGCATTCCAATTTCACCTCAGCCCTCAAACCAGCTTGCCACACCCGCTCTTTTAAAACCAAAAAGAAAATGTTGTGATACTTTTTCTTTAATGAAGTTCAATAATATCTTTCCATGTGGGAATTTCCACAGCATTTTTTCCTCCCGTTTTTCACAATTAAGAATGGCAAGTAAATACACATATTTTTGAACAGTTGTGTTGTAGGGTAGAGAAGGGACATCTATCTTTAGAATGGTGTTACTCCATATTCCCAAACTCGCAGCACATGCTCAGCCCAAACACTGAACTGTTGGCTGACTGACCTGTCGGGTTGCTCTTATTGTGCACATGAATATGAAAATGCTACTTAAAAAACCAAAAGCTGCTTACACTATGGAGAAAGAGTGGCTCTGCACTGCCCCATAGCTTTTAATCATTTAAACATCAAATGTTTTGCCTTTTAATATCAGAGGGGTAATTTATGGCCTGCATATCATACAAATAGTAGGGTTTTTTTCTCAGCATATTCACATACATATGTGTATTTAAATGTAAATAACATTTTCAGTCAGTTAAACTGTGCTTCTGAAAGGGGTGGTTTTACTTCTCTAAATTATAAAGAAATCTCTTACAGCCCATCACTGTTCCTGTACTTTCTCATGCTGCTTTGGCTGCAGGCTCAAGCCAAATTTCCTCCCTCATCTGACTCTGTGACTGTGTCAGTGATTTAAATGGGACAAAGGCACAATCTGAGTGCTGGCACATGACTATCCAAGCTTCCAGAAATGGTTGGGTCCCTGACTAGTATTCTTCCAGGCAATGTCTTTGTACAGAGGCTAGCATCACTCAGGAATGGTATGCAGCGTCTACAAATCCAGGAGGCAGTGCAAAMCAGCCACTGTTTTGAAGGGGAAAGAATTTAGCTGCACCATGCTATGTCATGCCACTTCCCAGACATCTACTGAGTAAGTCCTAATTAGTTTTATTTTCTGGTAGATGTAGCCTGTATATTTCCACCTATCTGGAGATAGGTAGTAGATAATTTCCTATCTACTCTTAAGGCTAACAGAACTCTCTTCTTTTACAGCCACCCACAAAGCCATGTGATACTGCTTCCAAGACAAAAGTGATAGAGGTAATGTAACCAGCCCATTATGACTGACCATTCCACTGGTCTTACATCAAGCACACGATCAAGTCTAATGCTCCACTGCTCCCAAAAGTTCAGCTGAAAGGAAAACTTGAGCATAGTCTTGTACCCATGGACTACTGACAGGAGGTTTAGGATTTCATGCAAGTAAAACTCTTTTGTCTGTCAAAGGGTGGGATTCTTTCCAGGCACTGACTAGGGCTGCTTTGCTGTTTCTGGATATGACACAAGAATCCCACTGCAAAAACATTTTAATACCAGAGAAACTGTTATGTAAAAAAAAAATCTTAATTTTTTTAAAATGTAATGACCATGTTGCAAGTAAATCAGGGGATCCCTCAGTGATTATAAAGAACTTTCAGTTCATGCAGTAGTACTTTGCAAGCCCAGTCACATCTTTAACTGAAATATACGCAGTAATCACTGTCTTTTTACATGCAGTTAGCATGGATCAGTATTCTTGGTTTGGTATTTTAGGGTTATTGCCTTGTTTTTCAAAGCTATTTTAGCTGAAATTTGAAAGGAGAAATTTTCAGCCTGAGGCAAATAAGCAGATACAGTCTGTCAAGCTATGAACATCTGAAACCAAGACTATTAACAACTACTGGATTCAATGCCAGCGCCCCTCACACTGAGCACTAGTAAATGGAGTCAGATTTCAGCTCCTCTCTTCTGAAGCTGCCAGGGCCAGTTAGTCCCAGTGTAGGCTAGTAGAGCCACCAGATGAAATAGAGTACTAGTCTCTTTAAATACTAGATTCCACTAGTACTAGTATTGCGACATGGAATAATCAAAAATGGCTGTTATGCCTTGTAATGAAGAAGTAAATCTCACAGTCTCCATTAGTCATACAGATGAGCCATTAGTTACTAAGATCCAAAAACTTAACCATTAATTTAATCAGTTTAGTATTTCCATATTCCCTTTTATAGTTTAATACTATATTGATATAATATTTACTTTCTCCTCAATAGAGAGGCTTCTAAAACCAAGTCACCAAAGTTAGGGAATCAATTATTTTCCAGTTTGAAAACATTTCCCGTGATCAGACTTTTGGTATTAGTAGTTTTGATATAATAATGTTGGAAAAGGATGTTGTAACTGGATGGACATTTTTGGTGGAGTTATGTGTATACCATATGCTACAGGGAGATACCTCAAAAGAACAGCTGCAGTGCTTGGTGGGAAACACCTTCAAGAGTTTTACCAAAAATATTATGAAACCCTTAGACATTTTTATATTTAGTACATATAGTATTTAGTATGTATTTATATATAGTATTTTTAATTTCTGTGATGACAAACCAATTGCAAAGGTACATTGAACCCAAGGTTTGGTATAGAAACAATTATGGAGTAGAAGCTCTCACCAACTTTAAATAGCCCAACTCAATCTCTCCACAGGAAACTGTGGAAATGGATGCATGTACAGGCATTTTTTACATATATGCATACTAACACAGGCAAATATTTAATACTGGAACGYGAATAAAGGATAAAAAAACCCCACATTTTATTTCATTGATCACTCATGTAACTGAATTAGATTCTGTGTGAACACTACTGCTGAGACATGGCATGGTGAATTAGCAGCTTGTGCGTAAGGACAGAAGCAGTGGCACTCCAGAGCAACACGTCAGAAATTACTGTAAATAAGAAACTGAGAGAAAAGTAATTTGTGTTATCGGTCTCAAGGAAATGAGGACAGCTTTGGAAATACCAGATTGCCTCCAAACCATAACAGACTGAGAGGCTTAACTGAGATGAACAGATCAGATGTGTTTTGAACCCTATCTCCCTCAATAATGCAATCAAAGCCCTCTATGAGGACAKTGTACCCCTCACAGCTAAAGGGACCAGATGAACGCGCCCCAGCCAGAGCAAGGTGACGCGGACACATGGGTGTGTCCCTGCAACTTCGCCCACTCCCACCTTACGAAAAGCAAGCCCCTACCAGGCGCTTCTGAGCTGCCGTAAGCCAGCAGGCCGYGTGCCTTCCCAGCGATCGCCAAGGCTGGCTGAACTTCCAGTACATGTGGCCTCCTCAACCTCCCAAGAGGCGGCTCCGCTCGCCGCCTGCGCCCCAGCCCAAACCACGGCCAAGGGCGAACGCGGCATGAGGCAGGACCCGGGGCCGCTGCGCACCCGCGCCACTCGCACCCCCGTGTCGTGGGGGCCCTAAAGGCCGGTGACCCGAGCGCGTCGCGCACGGCCGCAGGMTGCAGACGGACATACCGATGTACGCCAGCCCGGCAGTCGCCCGCGCCTCCGTGCGGGGAGGCGGGGTCTCAGCTGGCGGGCGGTCGGGGCCCTGTGGGAATCCCCCCCGCCCCAGGCTGTGCCTCGCTGCTCCCTGCCCCGCCGCATCCCCTCACGGGGATACCCCGCTCCCCATCCCGCTGCCGCAACCCCCGCGCCAGGCTGGAGCCCAGCTCCCCCCGCCGCCACTGCGAGTGGGTCAGCCCACGGCTGCTCACCCCTTCGAGTGCGGTGGAACTAGCCCGTAACGCGAGGAAGGGCGCCATGGCCGCTCCCTCAGGTGATTGCCAGCTCCAGTGGTCAATCAGCGCGTTCCCTTCCCTCTCGGCAGCCCAACGCCCGCCCTTCAGTAGGGGTCGGGGGGCAGCGGGAGAGGCGGGCGGGAATGTTWACAAACAAGATCAGGGAGTAGAGGGGCCGGGGGGAAGACGGGGGGCGGAGCCGGCGTTTGGCGCAGCCGCCGAGCCAATGGGGGCGCGCGGCACTCGGCGGAAGGGCGGGGGCGGYGCGCGGGGAGCGTTCTCTGCCCGACGGCCGCCGGGGCTCGCGCGCGCGCGCGGCCAATGAGCGCCCGGCCCGGGCAGGGAGGGGGCGCGAGCGCTTGAGTAGGAGCCGCTCCCCGCGGCGCCCCCACCTCCTCCCCCCGTGTCGTTCAGCCTATCCCGGCCGCGCTCGGCTCCGCTCGGCTCCCCTCGGGTCCGCTCGGCTCGGCTGGGCTCGGCTCCGCTCCCCGCTGTCGGGCGGGGAGGGCGGCCGGAGCCCGGGGGAGGGGAGCCGCAAGGACATGGGCTGGCTCTGAACGCCGGGGGAGGGCAGCCGTAGTGCGTGTGCCTCCCTAGATTTTAATAACTGTTTGTTGTTAGGTGGTGTGGGTTTGGGGCTTTTTCCCCCCGTTTTCCACGAGGCGAAGGGGAGAGCAGCAGCCCCAGTGCGCCTGCATGGCTCCTCTCCCTCGGAGCGCCCCTGCAAAATAGAACCCGTCTCGGGCTAGGTGAAATCGCCCCGCCGTCGCGCTCACACTCCCGGGAGCGGCAGGGGCGGGGAGCCGCCTGTGAGGACATGGAGGGACCCTCGGGGGAAGCGGAGCTGCCGCTCCTCACGGTGAAGCACGAGCTGAGGAACGGTGAGCGGGCGGGCCCGGAGGTCGCGCGGGGGCGGAGGGGCCCAGGCGGCCCGGGATGAGCAGGGGGCTCCCAGAGAGTTGGGACCGGCAGGGAAATCTCGGAGGGGGGGCGGGGGGGAATGGGGAAGAGGGTGAGCTGGAAGATAAGGGCAGGAGCGTGTAAAATGGGGGCGGGGAGGGGGCCTTCTCTTATTTCTGAAAAAAGTATTTCACTTTGACTTCTGCTTCCTACCTGGCTTCCCTGTCCCACTTCCCGGTGGTATTTGACTCTTTTGAAGGAGATAAAGGTTAGCCAGGCTCTCTTTTAAACACTTTGGTTTTTTTAATCGTGTGTTTAACTGACTTCTAGGCTATGTTGGGGGGGCGGTTTGTTCCAGTCCTAAATGAAGTAGTTTTATGTGACAGCTTTTCTCTGACCTCGGTGAAATGCCGGAATTGTACGGAAGGGAATGTGCCAACACATAACCGCAGAATTATCTGGCTTTTCAGTCTATGAATCTTCTTGTAGCTCGGTAGTTACTTGACCACCCTCTGGAGAAACGGTTCAACATGTGAAAAATATATATGACCTTTAAAGATACCACAGAAATGCTTCGTTGTAGGTTGTTGTGTTGGGGAAAAGCTTTATTTCTTTTTAATAGGGACTCTGCTTCTCTGAAGTTTCCAGGCAACTTGAACACTGCAGTAAATCTAGATTTTAATGTTAATTTAGAAGTATGTGTAAAACATAATCAGAACGTATATTCTCTGTATTGATAGAATATACATGAAGCTGCTGTTAAYCCATGTCCTTCATTCCTTTTCTGTCTTTTTTTCGGTGATGAAGTAAGAGCATAGACTGCTGTTCAGTTCAAAAGTTTGAGAGAGCTGCCAGCCGTGTTAATGTAGTATACATTTTCGAATGGAYCGATGTGAAAGGCAGGTGGTGGTGCTGGGGCTCCTCGGTCGTGTTCGGCCTCCTGCCCCGCTGTCCCTGGGTCCTGGGTTCGGGAGAGCTGACCCAGAAAAACAGTTATCCCTGCGGCTTGGAGCTTGGGGAGGAAGAGGGAATTAAAAATTAAAAAAAAAAAAAGGTGTACTCTTGATAGCTACAGAAACCAGAGGGTCTGTAGTTTCCTTATTTCAAGAAGAAGCAAAAGAGCTGCTGGAAAGCATAATTGTCTCAATAGGTGTGGCTAGATTTGAACGTGGAAGAGGAAAAGGTAAGGGGAAAGGAAATGGGATGCATTTATCCAATATACTTACACAGCTATGTCTAGATTTATTKTATAAAAGTTGAGAACGCATATCCCTGAGGGATAGTTATTTAAAGATAGTTTGAGGAATAAACACATTTGTGTAAACTAGACAAAGAGCTAATACAGCATAATGAGCAACTTTGATTTTAATCCTAATCATAAAGCTTTATGACATACAAATTCTCRCTTTTATTTTAAAAATTCTTAATGTCGTTAGTCTTTTTAAGCTTCTGAAATTCTGTTTAGTACGAACAAGTTACTTCTCCCCTCCTTATTCTCTTCTCCAAACTCAGTGTTTAGAAAACTCTGCTTTCTGAAAAATGCTTTCTAGCAATGACTTGTCTATTTCTGGAGCACTAGGGTGGAGGAGGGAGCTGCTCTGTCATGTACTCCTGGGAGACTCCTACTGCTGAAGGTGTCAGTAGTGTCATAGCTATACAAGAGGTATGGAGATACTGTTTCAGAACTTGTCTCCATATAATGCGCAGAGATGCAATAATTTGAGGAGAAAAGTTTCAGTCTGCTGCTGTTGATACAGAAATATGTAAATCTGTAGGATACTTTGGATGTTTAAAGGTTTTTTTTTGTACTAGGTCTGGTTGTGTGGATGCTTAGCTGCTGACTAGGGTCAGCCCATCACAGCTTTAAAGCGTGCGGCATGATTATTTAATTTTGTTTCATTTTGGGAAAGAGGGTGAGAGGACATGCAGGAACTAGAATTTGRAGCCAGCAGATCTTTGTAATTTCTAATATGTTCTATATTATGAATATCCTGCGATGTGCAATTTGTTTAGATTCTAGTGTTCTATTCATCTCTGTGTTACTTCTTTGATGGTGCTCTCTCTGTGGCTAATTTAATAATTTAGAATTACATATTGAAAGTAGCTGTCAGTTGGCAGATGAAAAAGAGGTCAGTCTCCACAGTGCTTTGAAAGTATTTACTATTGTAGTAGAAATAGTGGCTTGAGAAGGGAGCATCTTATTTTCATATTGTAGAAGCTGTTACTTGAACCCCAGGGTAACAAACTCRCTAATTCAAATGAACTGAATGCAGGTAAATCCTCAGTTACACTTTGCATTTGTGTTTCTTTGATCTTGGGATTATTCTGAAATATTCAGTGAGTTAGGAAAAGGAATTGCTTATGGTCAAGTATGTAAAATCAACATACTTTAGAATTTGAATTTAAGATTAAATGARTATCTTAAAGAATGAAACAGGTTATTGTTGTTACTTCCAAGCAAGTATGGAGACATATGAAAATGCATTAAGTTGGAGCATATGAAGTGCTGTTTCTACACACACCAGCTGATTGTTAACCCTATCATACCATGATTTGACTTCTTTTAAACTTAGATGTTGAAATTACCGTGCTGGCTTTGATATGTAGCGTCAGGTTTAATTTTAGCTTTGTATCTCATAGTCTTAGTGCCCTGAAATTCCTCTGTTGTATGACCAAAAAGTAATTGCTGGAAAAACATCACTTGATAGGCATGTAGATTGGGTCTGTGATAGGGAAGAAACACTTCAGTGTGTAACACTTGAGTGCCTCTGTGTGATGCCATGTGACGTGCTCTGTTACAAATACTGGGCTCTGCTCTGTGTATATGTTTATGTATATATATATATATATATAACATACTTTAATTTTTATTTTTTTTTAATTTGATGATGAAAAGAATTGGAATGCCTCTCTGCTGGTGGGGAAACTGTAAGCATGCATGTGCTTCAGTGGTTTTTCCTTCAGTTGGATATTTTGCAGATTAGACAGAGCAGTGACTTTGAGGACATGTTTAATTTAATAATGATTTTCTCCCAATATATTTAGCARGTTTTTTCTTTTCCTAACAGTGAATCATTTTTGTTCTTGATAGAAGCCTCACAATTCATCCACTTCAGAATTGTTACTGCCTTTCTTGTCTCACTTCAGGAAGGAAAATGAGTTTTTGGGGAAAGTGGAATCTCTTTTCAGGAAGTAGAAGCAATAATATGCCTAAGTTGAAATAGTAGGAAGTGGTGACTGTCTCTGATTGTCACTGAAGCTCTCCAATGAAAATAATRAGAAAATGAAATTTTCTGTAGCATCGATTTCTAGAATCCTGTACAGGGAARAGGGTTTTAATTCTTGAAGGCTAATTTTCAGCGTTTATGCAACTTCTAATGCTTTTACAGGCCTTATAAATTACATATTATTTGCGCTGAAAAAAGAACATTGTTGTGTCATAATTTACCTGTTGCTTGGTAATGCTGCAGAACGGAACAATGGCAAACCTAAAGCCCATCAGAGGAAACATTAGAAAAGTCTTGTGATGTCAGAAGATAAGAAAGAAACAGAACGGTTAAGAGTGGATTTCCTTCCCCCCTCCTCTTGGCWTCTGTCATAGCTCTTGTTTTTGGAAAAAAGGATCAAAGGATCCTATACCTTAAGGGTATGTGAGTGACTGCATAGGAGGCTGCCAGTGTTATGGCATGCATGTGCATTCCCTGTTTTGCCCAGGGAGAGGCAGAGATCACCAAAACAGGGATCTCGAAGGGAACTTGTGAGACATTCCMTGAGTGTATGGGCAGTAGGCTCAAAATTCGTTGTTTGTTTTGCTTCCAAGTGTTGTTCTTTTCCTTGTAATAAGTCTGTTTTAAAGAGGATACTGGATTTGTTTTAATGTTATTACAAGCTTTGGGCTAAAGAACTGGCTTTAATTTGCTGTTTGCCAGACTGTAACGTGCATGGGAAAAAGCAGAAATTAGTGTAGTAATGGGCTGCAGAACTCCAGAGGCAGAAGAATTTGGAACTTCCCCTTAAGTCAAACTTATAATTCAGTATGAAGCTATAAAAGGCTCCAGAAAATAAATACATGGATTATCTGAAGGGTTTTATAATGCAAATTCTTAGTTATACCTTCTTAAAKGGGAACTTAATAAGGAATAGTGAATAGATTTATTTGTAAACTGGAAGGTTCATGTTACGTACTACAGAATTGTGAAAATTCCTATGACTAAAAAACATGATGAATCATGCACTGAGTTGCAAATTCAGCCTTCGCAATGGAGGTACATCTGGCACGTGTAGAGTATTTTAATTTTTTTCTRTTTTTAAAAGGAAATGATGAAACATTAAAGATACTTTTAAAATTATGTTTTCTGTAAGATAGGTTTTTTTTTTTTTTTACTTATTTGCTAATTCTGTGTATGTTTAAGCATAAGGAGGTGTACTAATAGTTGATTATTTCAAAGTTTGGGTTGCTTTTGCTTCTACTTTTCTCTTTTGAGCACTAAAGTGTATGTGTTCTTGCATTGCTGTGAGACCTATAAAGAGTATTTTAAGTTAATTAATCATTTTTAATACTGCTTAAATCTGTATTCTACTCTTTGCAGAGTCAATATTTTCTAAAAATACTTTGTAGTCTAGTAATTTACTGTTACTTACCAATGTAGCTTTGATTACAAAGAAGAAGGATGACTATTGATCTTTCCTGGGTTGTGTTCCTGTTTTTTTGCTTGTTTTTGTTGGGGTGGGGTTTTTGTTTGTTAGTTTTCCTCCCTCCAGACTTTAGAACCTAACAAACCTGGCTAAAATGATCCGTACAAAGGTGTGGTGCTATTGACTATTTTGCTGTTGTTGTTTCAGTGATGTTCTATAAAATAACAAACATAAATGCGGGCGAGTAGTTGCAGTCTTCATTGTCAGCCTCTTTATTTGCTTTGGTCCGATGTATTCTATATATGATGGCTTAAAAGCTCATGCTCAATTCCMCAAGAGAATTTGG